ATGAATGAAATCTAAAGTTAGAGAATTTTTCCTTTGTGAATAACTTCAATAAAAGATTCCCCATTTAGGTATATTTTACACAGCAATACCTAAACCGCCCAAAATCGATTTTTGTTCAAACATGACATGAAAGTCTATAAGTAACGCGTTTATTTTTATGTACCATAACAACGAGCGGTAGGTCGCAATTTCGTCAACGCGGAATTACACAAAAATAGTATGTTACTTCCACACATCAGTTACCTGCCAGTCAAGGTCTCGTTGCAATGGCTCGAGCCATTTGGAGATTACTAAGAACAAACGTGGATTTGAGATCAGACAGATGGACAAACTGAAATTGCAACAAGCATAGGGAATGTGAATTTGTATTATATTTTATATTGCCTTTAAAGGGAAGGCCGCTCTTTCTTGGATCTATATAATTCTTATCGTTAAGTAAAGTGGGAGTAATAAAAAATTCATAAAAACTAGTTCGACATATTTTCGTTTAATAAACACGTTAATTTCTTACATAAGATTTTACTCTCTCACATTTAGTGAAACTTCTTTGATATGATTCACTTTTAACATAATTATACCAAAAGTCTCGGAACACAATTATTAAAAAATCGAAGTATTACAGTTTCGAGTAGATACACATTTAATTTCATACATAACTAGCAATCCATTCGACATAGGGACCAACTGGACAAGGGAATCTTGCGCTTTCAATCATTTGATTTTTTGTTTCATCTCCGCAATATATGTTATCATAACCAGAGGATAGTACAGCAACTATGCCTGATGCATGGATGACAGGGCTCCCGGAGTCCCCACCACATACAGTAGCAATAGTTCCACATCGATGACCTAAACATAACAACGGCCCTAATCCCGGTGTGTGCATGCATTTATTTATTACCACCTTAAATATTTGTAACACTTTTTTTTAATTCTAGAGTACTTCCAGTAATGGTTTTTTTGTCAGGTATATTTTTCGTCGTGACCCCAAAACCAACGAATATCGCTTCATGACCATATAAAGTGTGAAAATCTACAGGACTTAATTTAATAAACCTCTTTAATGGCATAGGATTTGTTTTTATAAGGCCAATATCATTTTTACAACAAAACCCATATTCGTAATTCGAGACAAATATATAGAATGCGGAATCACTGAAACAACATGACTGAATGTATTGTTTTCTTTACTTGAATTATAAACAGAACCATACCTTATCACTAGCTTATTGTGTAATCCTTCAATGTACACGTGTAATTCTGTTAAGCAGTGAGCCGCTGTGACTGCCCATGTTGGCGACAGAGCAGACGCCGTGCACAGATGCGTGTGTCTACCATATATACTGCCATTAGCTATCTTATTTATGTGCCTGATTTCAAGGCGAACAACATACGGATAAGCTCCTTGGTCCGCGTCTTCTCCACCATAAACTCTCAATGGTTGACTTTTGCCAGAACATTGACTCGACAATATTACGATGAACAGTATTTACATGATGTACCAACGTGTTCCAAACATATAACTAAGTAATAAATTATTTTTTAAGCAACTATTTAATAGTTTATTTTTATTTTAAAACATAAAATGTTATCTTGGTAATTCTATTCTATGCATTTTGTATTTTAAATATTATATCTTTGTTATATTGATTCCTTGAAATTATTGACTTTTTGATCAGATTTTTGTTAGTTTAATTTCTCGTCTTACTTCTATTTGATACGTTCTTAAATAGGGTATATTTCTTGTAAGAAGTAGAATTTGATGGTTAAACAGAAATTGTCTAGAATAGATCAGTTAAAATAACGATGGACAAGTGACATGATTTCTGATACAAAAGAAAAATGAAGTGGTCCAGTAAACGAATGACATTCGGGACATGGGAAAAGGAAGGGAGACTGCCATAAGGTTGCCAGCCTATCCAAATTGGCTAAGAGTTATCTACGACAGAAAATACTTGTTTGTTACAGCCTTAAATATTTGCAACTCTTTAAATTTGAAGGTAACTACATTAATAGATTCATTTTCAAAAAATTTTTTAGTACCACCATAACAACCGAAAAAAGCTTTTTGACCAAATACAGGGTGAAAATCAGCTACATTTACTTCAATATAGAGGCCTTATTTCACATTATCCTTGACGATAAATAAAGTGTATTCAATGAAGAAACATAATAAAACAAAACTATTGTCTTGGTTCTCCATTTTTTATCAGCTACATTAATTAAGCTAATTTATTTATAATAGTTATCCTAATAGTCTCACAATGAGGTCGTAGTTCCTAGTTGATACACATTCAATTTCTTACATAACTATTAATCCATTCAACATAGGGACCAACTGGGCAATGAAACCCTGCGTCTTCAATTAAAGTATTATCTGTTGCACCTCCGCAATACATGTTAGGTTTACCAGCGGATAATACTGCAACTATGCCTGATGCGTGGATGACAGGGCCCCCTGAGTCTCCGCGACATACAGTAGCAATAGTTCCACATCGATAACCTAGACATAACAAAGGCCCTAATGCCGGTGTGTGCATGCATTTATTTATTATCACCTTAAATATTTGTAACGGCTTTTTAAATTTTAGAGTGTTACCAGTTTTGGTTTTGTTATAAGATTCGTTTTTCGTAGTGATCCCAAAACCACCGAATACCGCTTCATGCCCATACAAAGTGTGAAAATCTACAGGACTCAATTTGATAAACCTCTTTAATGGCATAGGATTTGTTTTTATAAGGCCAATGTCATTTTTGACAACAAAATAGTGACTAATTTCTCGATATACATACATAGGATGCGGAATCACTGAAACAACTTGACTGAATGTATTCTTATCATTTGGTAAACTATGAACAGAACCATACCTTATCACTAGTCTATCAGGTAGGACTCCTTTAGGATATTTGTTTAGATTAGTTATGCAGTGAGCCGCTGTGACCGCCCACGTTGATGACAGAGCAGACGCAGTGCACAAATGATGTTGGTTATCAAATATACTGCCATTGGCCATCTTCTTCCTATACCGGAGTTCAAGGCGAACAACATACGGATAAGCTCCTTGTTCCGCGTCTTCTCCTCCATAAACTCTCAATGGTTGTCTTTTGCCAGAACA